CAGACTCTAACGTAAAAAGTCATAACTGATATCTATCAATTTTAGTGTATTATCATTTAATGTTATTTAGCATTGGTCTCTGTCATTGCATGCTCCACCTAAAAGTTGCAAAATAAATACAATAAAAATTATTATCCAATTATGGCTTTTATATATTATACATGTAGTAAAACAAAAGGAGTCGATGAATCATGGTGCTATGTTGTTAAATGTTAATTAGACCCTTGGATTATAGTATATGATTCTTGATTAATAATGGACTTACTATCATTACAAAATTAATGCCCCATCATCACAGAATCATAATGATGACGCACTATGAATAGTGCTCATTAGTTTTTTTTGTTTTAATTTTTTTTTTTTAATTTTTTATGAAAAAAAGTAATTGTTACTATACGGGAATATGCATTGAGTAAACTCTGCACATATATAATAATTTACAATTCACACATAAAGATAAATTAAATTAAGAAGAGTATTAGGAATAATCTAACTGGACGTATCGAATTCAACTAACGTTCATTGCATATAAGTTAAAATTTTAGGGGATGTTTAATTATGGTTTTAATTTTTTTTTGAATGCTTAATTATGGTTTTAATAATTATTCTAATTTAGAAGAAAATGATATGACGATTAAGGAGCCAGTATGCATGCTTTGAATCATTATATTGATGAAGACCACACGTTCGTACAATAATAAATATCATAGGCAGAGAGAGTACTCGCTAGAGTAGATAGATATGTTCAAAGATCCTAGAGACACGTGTATATATTACTTTATACCAAAATCATTCTACTTATTATTATATAATTGAGAAAATCATAATATATACCCCTCACAAATATATCAATTATCAATTTCGCCTCTAAATTATTAGTTGTGTAAATGTTACTCTTGAATTTTTAAAACGTGACATATATTGAAAACATAACACATTTTCTTTAATTTACGACAAATGAACATAATGATGTAAATCAGCTTATGTTGCACATAGTTAACGTCCAGTTCAAACAAAAAAAACCCTAATAAATAACTACCACTGTAAGTCTGAAATATTGTAATTACCAAATCAACGTACTATCCGATCAACTTGGTTATAGTTGCTCCAAAGTGTCGTATTCTTTTAAAAGTTAAAACATGAATGGTTTTCATTTCCAAAGCCTAAATCCAAAACCATATATTGATTGTTACTTTATCTTAAACATATTTTGGGGTTTTAAAGCTATGGATCTAATGTTAGATAAGTGATTTAACATGAAAATAAAACACAAAGATGGTAAGAGTGGTGTGATTGATGGGGTTAGGCATGGAAGGTGAGAGTCTCCTCAGATCAGATCAGCTCTCATTCATCAGAGAGAGAAGTCATATTCAGAGACATCACTACCTTAGCCTAAACAAGGACCCATTCCAATTGGCAATTAATATTCCATTTGGGTACAGATCATAGATTGTGGTTCAGCTCCGTGTGGGGTTCCATTGCCTGCCTGATGAATAATTTTAGGAATTATCAAACTTGTACTTTCCCCCAATGAGACAACTTCTTCAATTTTAAAGCTATCTAGGATAAAATTAATATATCAATTTCATTTCAAGCTAATAAGGTTTTTCATTTTCCATATCCAACAAGTAGTAATAGTTTCCTTTTAGGTTTTCTTTTGTTTTATTGGAATTTAGTTTGTTAATAAGTTTGAACCTTAAGTTAATACCATTATTTTTGTCTTAAAAACTGGTAGGGGTGGTAAACTGCGAAATGTGGTTCAACTGGCTTATACACTTCCAAATGATTGTATACTGGTGTTCACAACAAAGCCAAGTTTGAGCGTCAATAATAACAAAAAATAAATAAAAATTGTAAAGAATAAAGACAACCACTAATCAATAAAGACATTTTTTTTTTTTTTTTGGGTATAACCGAATGTTTTCACCCTATGACACAATGACTAATCCCTTTTGCATGATGAGACAGCTGGCTTGAAAATTTAAAGTTGTCTCATAAGCCATACACAAAACTAGCGATTAATTCCTTAACGAATGAGTCTCTTCTACTCAATCACACCCATAGGTTAACAACAAAGACACATTAGTTTGCTAATTAAATTAGAATATCTAATTTTCTTCATAAAAACGCCCATAGAGTATAGGCCAAAGTGCCTTAATATTAAATCAAACAAATTATTATTCAATCAGCTTGGTTGGTGTGAGTAGCCATTAATGTGCAATTCAATTATCAGCTTAGGCTTTTAATTAAGATGGAACACATGTTTTAATTTGGTATCAGAGCGCTACCCATAAGCGTGCTTTAATTAAGAGAGGTCAAGAACTCAAACCCTTTCTCGGGCAAACTATGCCCTGGAAACGTGTTCACCGAGAATGGTGAACACAAGGCCAAACAACGTCGTTTTTAGGCAAAAAAATAAAAATAAAAATTCGCGGATGTGGAGTTAACGGCGCGCGTTGATCAAATTATGAATTTTCTTTTATGAGATTATGAATCATAACAGAAAATTCATAATCGCATAACAGAAAATTCATAATCGCATAACAGAAAATTCATAATCTCATAACAGAAAATTCATAATCTCATAACTGAAAATTCATAATCTTATAACAGAAAATTCATAATCTCATGGTTCCAAAGTGAATGTGTAGGCATGGTTCCAAAGTGAATGTGCAGGCATGGATTTTCATAATTTATGAATGTCCGTGATTTCGGACGGGAATGTGTAGGCATGGTTCCAAAGTGAATGTGCAGGCATGAATTCATAATTTATGAATGTCCGAAATCATTGTTCACCTCAAATTAAAGTGAAATCGCAAAAAATTCATAATCGCATAACAGAAAATTCATAATCGCATAACAGAAAATTCATAATCTCATAACTGAAAATTCATAATCTCATAACTGAAAATTCATAATCTTATAACAGAAAATTCATAATCTCATGGTTCCAAAGTGAATGTGTAGGCATGGTTCCAAAGTGAATGTGCAGGCATGGATTCATAATTTATGAATGTCCGTGATTTCGGACGGGAATGTGTAGGCATGGTTCCAAAGTGAATGTACAGGCATGAATTCATAATTTATGAATGTCCGAAATCATTGTTCACCTCAAATTAGAGTGAAACCGCAAAATGTGAAAATGAAGAAGAAAAGTCACGCAATTAATTAAGAAAAGAAAAGAAAAAAAAAAGATAACGGTGTACTAACACCCATGGCATAACGCTCCCCTTTCTCGTATATAAAAAAAATTCAATTTAACTAGCACTTTTGTTATTTAATGGGCCGGCCCAATGTAAATGAAGATTAGTCCATGACCTGACAAACAAAAAACAAATAATTGCTTATTTCCAGTTTTAATGTCAAATAATTAAATGTGCACCCCGTATTTAATGAATTATAATTAATTAGGGTTGAGGTTCGGCCTTTTGGAAGAATGAAATATAATTAATTGTAAACAACAAAGTAGATAAGAATTGAGCAAATGAAAAGTAATTTTATTTCATTGTTCCCAAACTTCACTCATTTGACCAATTGAATTGTTTATGCGGGTGATAATTTTATTTCATAGTTGTAGAATTAAGGGTTCAAATATCTTTAGTTAGAAAATAAGGGATAAACATTGAGAAAATATAGTCTAGAGAGAATAAAGGAAAATTATAATAGTCGATATAGAATAACATGTTTTCTTTCTTTCTTCCCTTTTATTTGCCTCAATGCTACAAAATATCTACATCCTCAAGGCATAATTGATAATGAATCCATAAATTTGGAATTTGACTTTATTATGATACAAAATATCTATTTATAATTGCATTCTATATAACATATGATATCTTGTATATATCCTAAGGTAATATAAAGAGTCGAATTTTTTATGCTAAAATGTTCTTTCTCTATCTAGCTTTTTATTATTTATTTTCGCGTGATCTCAAGCTACGATTACTATACAACTCTCTAATTAAAATTAAAAATATTCTTAAAATAGCTAATTATATTTTTCTCTTCCACTTTTGCCAACATTTCCTAAAGTATTAAAATATCACAAAATAAAACCAATTAGTACATTACCTATTTGAGAATTAAATAATAATCTATTCCAAAAGGGCATTAATTATCTTCCAATCATAAACTTGTACTAATCATTTTTAATTTTAAAAAGTGCATATTAGAACCCTCATTTGGCTTGTTCTAAGTGATGACAAATATATAAAACCAATATTGGTTTGTTTCAACAACCACTTAAGAGGTTATAGTTAACTTAATATCAAATTAAAATATGCAAATGATATAATTTAATGAAAAAAAATGTTATGCATGCCCACTTATATGTTTATATCTATATTTTAGATTAAAGATCAATTCAAGCGATACATTAAAAGAATAATTATTTTAAGAAAAACAAAAAGATAAGAAACAAATTAAAAATACTTGCGTGTTCAATTGTACGATAATCTTTAGAAGACATGTTTGAAAGAGTTTAATATACTTGTTGTACATGGAATTGTTGATTAGTTAACTAATCTTAGTTATGTGATACATTTTGAAGAGCCGTGTTTTAATTGGGGTTGTCAGAAAAATAACATTAATGAAATTTTGATTTGCATAAATATTTTTATATGTATTTTATTTTATTTATATTGAGCAAATAAAGTATTACATTATTTGACAAATTTGACAAGTACCTATTTGTATAATATGACGGTCTCAAATATGATCGGTACTCGTGTTGCGGGATAACATAAAAATACATGCATGGACAGCTCAGTTGGTCACATAGGTGATGTTTGAGAACAATTATCAGGATCGAGTCTCACCATCAGCAATGTGGAAGCAACCTCTCAAAATGAGAGGATTCTTTGTGCACAGTAAGTAAAAGTAAGCGTATGTGGAACAACATGAAAATTGTGTGGGTATGTATTCCTATCTTTATTAATTGAACAAAAATGAATACACAAATGATTGCTTCCTTGTAATCAATGTGTGACACTTTCATCCTTCTTTCTCTTTGGGTCCTCACAAGTATTGAACCAATACATACAAAATGAATTGAATCCAATAAAAAAAAATTGTGGATAAATCTCTGACAGACTCTCTCTCTCTCTACAATGGAGGACATATTTTTGTCTCTCTTCATCGATCTATAAAGCATCAAATTCTCTTCCAAACCCAAACACACACAGACTTCTCCCTCACAAGATGGACTCGGTTCAGCCGCTGTTCCGGCCGCCGGAAACTCCCAGAGAGCCCATGGAGTTTCTTTCCCGGTCATGGAGTCTCTCCGCTGTTGAAATCTCCAAAGCCATTGCACCTTCCCAGGCCGTGGTCAAGAATTTCCCAGGTGGACCGTCCAATGCCGCCCCTTCTCCGGCCGCCGGCGGCGGGACCATTTTGGAGGACATCGCCGGCGAGCTGGAGGAAGCTGCCGCGGTTTCCGGCATCCCTTTTTCCTTCGCTTCCTCTGACACTTCTCAGCTTATCATGGAACGCATTATGTCTCAATCTGTAAGTGTATATATATATATATATAGATGGGGAAGAGAGAGAGAGAGAAAGATTGAAAACAACGTGACCCGTAGAATGACTTCTTCTCAAATTGTAGTTCTTGGATTTTTCTGGCTTGTTTTCTCCATGAATTTGAGCTCATTTTGCTTCTATTCTTCCCTGTCTTTTTCCCCTGTCTGTTTTCTTCATGAATCGCTGAGAAAGACCGTAGCTTTTTGTGCTCAAACCATTTAAAAAATGTTGTCTTGAAATGAAAGCTTCTGGAGACATGTATATATGGAATAAACAGTGCCTTCATGTTTTCTGGGGAAATCCAACAAGAAAACATTATAAAATTTCCTGCCCACATAGGAATCTTGCTCTCTAGGTTCCTGTCTCTCTCATTGATCTTAGTTACTCCCATTGTTTATTCCAGCTTTTCTTGGTACTGTGCACATATTTTAATTTGAATCCTACATGCAATCATTCTCTCTGTTTCATCTCTTTCTTCAAACACCATTTAATCTTGATTCTTGAATCATGTGGGTAATAAAGTTTTGTTTTTTTTGTGTGCAAATTTTTTACCGTTCTGTAATTTAAAATGGGTACTTCTGTTATTTTTAACAGCAGGATGCTTCTCCACGTACATCAGGGAGACTCTCACATAGCAGCGGTCCTCTCACTGACAGTACACCTGCTTCCCCATCAGAGATGGATGACGCTAAGGTCTGAATGCATATGTATATATATATTTCTGTGTACCTAAACATTTGTTATTTTGTATATGACTGTATGTGTATCCAGGGGTTTGGTTTTGTATGTTTGCCCCTTTTGGTGTATGAACAGTACGAGTCTGCATTTGCAGAGTGAAAGTCAGTGGGGAAAACCTGTCAGATTAGGTTTCTGAGTCGCTGTTTAATAATCAACAGGGTGCTTGAGAGGGGAAAATGGGAAAGAGTACTTAGTCTCCTGATGCCTTGTCTTCATTCTACAGCCTGGGAAATTTGAAATTTCATTCACATGTTAATCAAGATCCCATTTTTCTTGTTACCCTTTTCTTGGAACAATGGTATTTGGATTTGTAACTGAGGTTTATGTAAGTGTTCCATTTTCTTGAAATTTGATCTCCAATTCTCCATCATTATTTTCATCACTGGGTTTTGAGTTTACTGTGTTGTCCTTGGCTTGGTTGTCTAGCGTAGGGGTAATTTATGAAGTATGGGTGCCCTTGAATGTTTGTCATATAGGAATTATGAAGTGGGGTAGCCAACAATTTGAATACTAATGCTGTCCTATCATATATTTGTGGCTATTTTCATATTTTCCTGCAATGAATTCTGATATTTATCTTACAAAAATGTGGATGAAAAAAATGACAGCTTTATGTAGGACATATTATATGATCAAAGGTATTACATTTACTATGTCCACCGACACTCTTGTTTCCTGTACCAGTATTCTAGATTAAACAATCTGCAAATCAACAACCAGTACAGGAGCAGCGCGACAACGCCAGCTGTGGCTGTGAGTAGCAGCAGCAAGACGGTTGGACGGTGGTTCAAGGACAGGAAGGAGAAGAAGAAGGAGGAGTCGAGGGCGCAAAATGCACAGCTACACGCTGCTGTTTCAGTTGCTGGTGTTGCGGCTGCTGTGGCTGCAATGGCTGCAGCGGCCGCTGCATCATCTGCTGCCAGCAAGGATGAGCAAACGGCGAAAACTAACATGGCTGTAGCGTCTGCCGCCACCCTGGTGGCGGCTCAGTGCGTCGAGGCTGCCGAGTCAATGGGGGCTGAGCGCGAACAACTTACATCAGTCGTTAGTTCGGCTGTAAATGTTCGATCAGCGGGAGACATCATGACACTCACAGCAGCTGCGGCTACTGGTACAATGTTGCAACATAAAATTTCAACATTTAGTGTTTTAAGCTGTTAGACTAGCTAATTGATTGGATTCAGTCTTTTAGTATAATTTGGCCCATGTGCATTATAGTTCAATTGAGTGACATTGACTCAATCTTAGATTCTAACATGGTATCAGAGCCTGAATCTGAGATGAGCTTGAAAAAGGCTTTTCATAAACTCTTTTCTTTCTCTCATTAAAGAATGGGGTAGATTCTAACATGGTATCAGAGCCTGTTTGAGCTATTTGGTTTTCTCTGATAGAGTGACATGTATTGTAGCTTTGCGAGGGGCGGCCACGCTAAGGGCCAGAGCACTGAAGGAAGTGTGGAATGTTGCTGCAGTAATCCCCGTAGATAAAGGATTTGTGGGTGGCGGTGGAAGCAATGGGAGCAATGGCAGTTCTAGCGGTGAGCTCGCTCCCGAAGAGAACTTTCTTGGGATCTGTAGCCGGGAATTGCTTGCCAGAGGTGCTGAGCTATTAAAGCGCACACGAAAAGGTATCAGATCATATTCTTAGTCTAGTGTAATATGATTGATTAGTCGATTTTCATCTTCAATTTATCGTCTTTCCGTTATAAGTTGAGGCCTTGAGGGTATTTGTATTAGTAGTTTAAAGTTTCTTGCATAACTTCTTGCAGGTGATCTTCACTGGAAGATAGTGTCTGTGTATATTAACAGACTGGGTCAGGTAGGCTTTCCCTTCCAATTATTGTATAAACTGTCTTCACTTTATAGCTGATTTTACAGTGTGGCAGAAGTTAGTAACTTTGAAGCTTCTTGCTGTAAATTCATGACATAAAATGACACAAAACCCCGCTCGGTTCAAAAAAAATATGAATCTTGCTTTCACGATGCAACTTTTGACGATTCTTTTATCTACAGGTGGTACTGAAGATGAAGAGCAGACATGTTGCTGGGACCATAACCAAAAAGAAAAAGAGTGAGTGTCATACCAAGAATGTTGCTTTTTCTCTCTCTCTCTCTCTCTCTCTCTCTCATGATGTGAACACAATTACATGTTTGGATCTTTGCTTCCCATCTGGGGATTTGAGAAAGCAATGTGCAGTTGAATGGGGGGGGGAGAAAAAGATGAAAAAGGTGGCATCTTTATATTTTGTTCTGTTTTGAAATGTGCAGATGTGGTGCTGGAAGTGTTGACAGATCTCCCCGCGTGGCCGGGGCGCCACTTGGTGGAGGGCGGGGAGAGCTTTCGCTACTTTGCTTTGAAGACGGTGTCGAGGGGAGTGGTCGAATTTGAGTGCAGAGATCAAAGGGAGTATGATGTGTGGACCCAAGGTGTTTCAAGACTGCTAACTTTTGCAGCTGAAAGAAACAGTAGACTTAGATGCTGAAAGGGTGCAAGAAGATGATGCTTAATTTGATGCCAGTAGAACATATATATTTATATAATCTGTGTATTTCCACTGAGGCACTAACCTCTTGTAGTTTGAAATTGGGTGGGGCTTTCTTTTCTACTTATTCAGCTGCCTTTTCCTTTTTGTGTTCCTTCTGTAAAAAAAGTAAATGAAGTTTATCCAAAAGGATCCCTCTTTCACACTCTATTTGTGTCTGATGTTTCTTGATATGTTAAAGTGAACCTTACAACCAATTCCAGAGTTACTCAGTTATGGACAATTTAAATTTGTTTATCTTATCGTGATCTTTTGTCGGTTAAGATCACAAGGAGAAGTTTACTTTTTACACACTTTTGAATAGTGACGGTAAATTTCCTTCATTATTAAAAAATGGTGAATATGACCAAACAACTCCTAGTAATTTAGATAATTGATAGGCCTATCATAATACAAGATCCTAATATTTAGACAATTGGTAGGACTATCATAATACAAGATTGGATGACCAGATTTTGTATATGTACACTATGTTAAGAACTTTTGAATTAAGCCTTTAATCGAATAAAAGTCAAATTTTGTAGGTTGATCTAAATGACACCTGGATTAGTTTTACAATGGTAGTGTTAAGAATTGTCTTTAATTGAATAAGAGTCAAATTTTGTAGGTATAATTTAAACGACACCTGAATCAGTTTTACATTGGTAGTGTTAAAGAATTCTGAATCAAATCTTTTGTGAAGTAAGAATCGAATTTACTAAACTGAATTAAATGGTACCGGAAATAGTGGTAGTGGAGTGAAAAAAAAAAAAAAAAAAAAAAAAAAAAAAAGAAGGGTAAACATAAGCAAAGCAAGGGAAACATGTGATCCATGTCTCTATTGTTCCTTGTTCTATGTTGTGATATATTAATTTATTATACAGTGGATAGAAGTTGGACTGCAGCAGTCAAAAAAGCAGGAACCCCATAAATTTCTGGCTACTTAGTACTTACTGACCATGTTGTATTGTTGTTCCTAGATCCCTGTGTTCCTGCTTCTTGAATTGCTGCCTTGCCTTGGGGTAATTAGAATAAAGTAAAAGTTGATGATTAGGGCTCCACTCATCCTTGTGGCCATGTGACAAAATGAATATTTTAAACAAAATATTAAAATAAAGATCACAACTTTAAGGTAATAGAGTAAAACACAATACATGCCATTCAGTTAGCACAGTCAAAAGTTTACATATTTACATCCTACTTGAGAATTCACTGATTCTGCAATACTAATGGAAGCACAGAAATGCTCAAGAAATTAAACAGTGACATCCATTGACAAAGGACAACACAAAGCAGAATCAGCCATCACAATTTACATCTATAATTTACAAAAAATTAGTGGAAAAATAATGTATGAAGAAGATGAACAGAGAAAGAGAGGTTTCTTCATGTTCATATCAGATTCTTAGCTGTTTCAGCAACTCGATCAACAAGGCTTCCGATCACTCACTCAGCACCCTCCAAGATGTTAAGAATGGCAATGAAAAGATTGATGATGTCCGAGAACAAGCAAGCTGCAGCTGCAATGTATTCGTCGTAGCTGAAGCGCTTGATCAAGTTGTCAGTGTCATATATGATGAAACCAGAAAAGATGAGGGCGCCAATGCACCCGTATACCAGCTGCCCGGTGTTTCCCATAGGAATAAACATCTATCCATGAAAACATATCAGTTAAGTGACAGCTACAAAAATTAAAAACAACAAAAGACACCTAGCTAGCTACTAGGATTGTGTCGTGCATACCCTCATAAAACCAAAAACCGTGAGAATCAGGAGGGCACAGATCAAGAAAGGACCGAGGAAGGAGAAATCAGAGCCTCTGCTCGACGCCCAGAATGTGTATAGTGTAAGCGCAACGAATATAAGTGCAGTAAGACCAGCAGCAATCATGACAGACATTCCTGTGAGCAATCAGATTTACTCCATAGAACAACATATATGTGTGCTAACATTGGCATATATCAAAATGAGTTATTGGATTGTCCTGTGTATGATACTTGTTATGCTACTTCAATGCTTAATAGTGACTTATGCTCATTAACTATGACAAAAACACAATGAAGATGGGCACTAGATCCATCGGCTTTGCAAGTTCAACCATGCTCTTGAATGCTCAAGAAACTAAATTATACTATCTTTGTAGGAAGACTAGTTAATCGCATGTCATTAGTTCATTGTGACATCCCATTCAAATTGGTCAGGTTGTTGACTTGGTAATTACAAGGTTACAGGTTCGACTTTCATGGAGTGACCTATTGACCTTTTTGGTTTGAGCCAGTCAGCTATGCGCAACCTAGACTGATTTATCTCCTTGTGATCGTTCGCTAGCTAAGATCACAAAACGGGATTTACCCAATGCAAACCATCAAGTACACTGCTGAAAATTATGGAATTTCCGACCACCTGAAAGGGATGTTCCGACCACTTTTGGTATCTAGAAAAACCTTTATTCTTATTTCCGACCACTTTTTACTTTCGACTTAATTTAAGATTACTTTCAGGTGGTGGGAAATTCCATAATTTCCAATAGTAGTAGTGGCTGCGGCTCATCATTCAAAGATCAAGAAAATCACAATGAAGATAGGAACTAGCTAAATCCAACTAATCTTTGTATGTTCAGCCACTCTCCCTGGAATCTCAAGCAAGTTAAACCCAAAAGTCATAGAACATTGATATGATAATATACATTAACAAGGTAAAAAATTCATCAGGAAATTGACAATTTCAAGCAAATCTGTTACCTTTCTTGTATACACAAATCACTCCAATCATGCAAGCCATGGCCACAGTAAAGAGAAACAGGAAAAGATAGTTCCACGGATGCTTGTTGCTTACACATCCCATTACCAAGCTAACTGCCAATCCAGAAAAAAAAAAAAATAGAAAAGAAGAATGCTTAATTGGATGATGAAATAAACCAGGAGCAAAGCTAAAAACTTTGAACAAAACCATGAAAATCCATTGATAAAACCATGCAAATTTGTAAAGCAATTGAACAAGAAATGAGAAGACCAAGAAGGACTTGAAATTTTCAATTGAGATCAAGAAAACCCTAAGGTGAAGATATGAAAATGTGGGGCAACCCATCCTGGTCAGGTTGGTGACTTAAGTAACCACAAAGTTACAAGTTTGACATTTGCAGAAGTAATCTATTGGGGTCCGTACCATACTCAACTAATCATCGGTTGCACTCGACCAGCCCTAATTAAGGACAAAATGCTGACTAGATTAATTTTTTCATATGAAAAAAGGTTTGAATTCTGAATCACTTTTAAGAGATAAGAGTGCGATCACTCATGCGAACTAAACTGATTTTACCTCCCCGTAATCATTTGCAAACAGTTTTCCCTCGTCAGCCAAAACGAAAAAAGATATGAAAATGTCACTCACGAATGAAGGTGAGAACGACTAAGCAAATGAGGGCGATCAAGCCCTCAGTGGTTCTCATGAAGGTCTTGACGGCGGGGGTGAAGAACATGGTGACGGAGACGCCGGTGCAGATGGACAGCTGGATGAAGACGATGATATACACCTTGCGAATGAAGGCCCAACGCATCTGCGGGTTCTCCATCATCCCGGGGTACAGCTCGCCATTCATGCCGGCCTCAATGTCGTAGCCCCCTTTGGTGCCGTAACCCGCCGGCATCATCTTGAATAATGTCGCTGGAAACGCCGCCGCAAGACTAGGGATATGTTTTCTGAGGTCTTTCTCTGTTTCTGCGTGGAAAATGCGAATTACGCGACTGTTTGTGTGTATGTATGACGAGATATATATATCAACCCCTGGAGGATGGCTGGGTGGGGGTGATATATGCAACGTAGCAGAGATTAAGGTTGTTTCTTCTCTGTTGTGGAATGAATTGAAGAAGCTAAGCTGAAATGGAAATGGAGATTTCAAGATTTTCTTCCGGTTTGAGGGTGGTTTAGCATTGATGGAAAGTACGATGTTTCCCGGGGAAATCGGAATACTGTACATTTGGTCAGTTAAGATATTTAGTGGTGGTAAGTTTCCATGAATTTTCTACCCCATGTTATCTAATAGTCAATCCATCGTATTTGCATTTTTTTTTTTTTTAAATTTAGGTAATCCAGGTTTCGTTAGGCTAATCTTAATTAAGTTCACAAGACCCTGTAAGTAAATTGCAAGTTGTCTCATCTTACGTTTCATGTAAGAACAACAGGTCCAATTCAGACATTTCAGTGTCCTTAGCCTTTTTTTCATACATGTTTTTAGTATGATTCAAACTCCTACATCCCCGCATTCGGTCATATTTAAATTTTTAAGTTAGGTGACGAACCTACTACACTAAATCTCGGGAGACTGCATGGAAAATTTCGCCACATAAAGTATGTGACATTTCTATTATTTTGAAAACTAACATATACTAAGTAGATTGTTATTGGGTAATAGTCCCGCAAATGACACTAAAAAACTAAATTATACCAACAAAATTATGTGTAAATAATTTGATTGGTAATGTGTTGACAATAATCACACTCGTGACATTCTGGTATAGAAATCATATTATACTCATTCGATCATCTTTTGGTAACCAGTAACAATTATATGAAAAATATTACTTAGATTCCTAAAATATACTCTCACTTTTTACTTTCTCTCGCAAAATTTCTATGTAGATATCTTTATTGGGATTCATAAAATAAGGTATCCTGTCAATATTAATTACATCAAGAAATAAAAAGTGAAAAAAGTATAATTTAAAAGTTTATATAGTATAATTCTGATTATATTATTAATATATGATTACAAAAATGATTGGTATATGTGCACGACATATATTGTTTCCTACTTTTAATCCTTAATATAAAAAAATTAAACTTAAGCAAACTTAACATTTTGTCATTTGAATATTGCCAAAGTTTCATATTTAAATCATTAACTATATTATTGTGACAAAATAATTAAAATATCTCTAGTCATATATAGTTTTTTATTGGACTTAATGAATGGTAATGATTTTGTTCTAAACTCTATTTAAATAATTTGGGAACAATAAATAAGCAAATTTTCCTGTCTAATGAGGTGTAATTTTTATGGCAATCGTTTATCCACTGTGGATATTTTTGCCGGTCGTCGGAAAGGGTTAAACAAATCACGGCCGCTAGAATCCCGCGAAAAATTGACCGTACGCGTGGCTGCATTGGCAACCACTCCGGTGAATTTATCATTTCCCCCGCTCGCTCTTTAAAGTGTAATTCAAGCGTTTCCGGCCACCGTCCAGGCGAGAAGATCCGCGCAGTCAACTCCCATGGCGATCGAGGCGAGTCTCGCTAAAATACCTTTGCACGTTTAATCAATTTCAGTGAAAATTTGAACTTTTTCCGTTACGAATTTGAGTTAATTTTAACATTTCAGGCGTGGTTCATGGATGACAATGGAGAGGATCAGAGACTGCCGCACCACCGGGACCCTCCGGTGTACGTGCCGCCGCAGCAGTTAGCGGAGATCGGAGTTCTTTACTGGCGTTTGAATCCGCAGATTTACGAGAACGACGATGAGTTGAAGAAGATTCGAGAGACTAGAGGCTACAGCTACATGGTAATTTAACCCTATATCGATTATCATCTTCGGATTCTTTTTCTTTTTCAATATAAATTTTTATTTTATCATTTACATATTGCTATATTTTTGCTTGGATTAGCTTGAATAATCTCATTTAGTGAGATATTCAATTGAAATTCAAAAGTTATAGCTTGTGTGCAGAAAGTAATGTCATAGATTGAGATTCCAGTAAATATTCCTCAATTTGAGAAGCTCTTCTTTGGACTACATCCAGTAGAGTTGAACTTAATTTTTTTTTTTTTTGAAAATGAGTTGAACTTAATTGATTACACTGGTACACAGATAACAATCTATCCAAACATCTGATTATTAATTGATTTTTTGCTGGCCCCAAATCTTCTTGGAGTTCATCATTATTGGCAGAAAAATACAAGTTTTTTGTATACAGTCATGTATTGTTGCCAAAAAATTGACCACTTTATCTTCTACTTACCTTCTGCTGAAGCGTTATTTCGATATTTCAATTTGAAATTCATTATTTAATTTGTATGAAAATTTCACTGTCTTTTTCTGTTCTAAGGCAGTTGTAATAGGACGTTCCCTCTTTAACGAAACCTAATATGCAGTTTTCATACCAGTATAAGTAGTGTCCTGTCCTAGAGTTACTAATGTTCCACTATTCCTTCGTGTTCTTGTTTGCTTTGAAGGATTTGCTGGACTTGTGTCCTGAGAAGGTGGAGAACTATGAGCAGAAGCTGAGGAATTTTTATACTGAGCACATCCATGCAGATGAGGAGATACGTTACTGCTTGGAAGGGAGTGGGTATTTTGATGTCCGGGACAAGAGTGACCGTTGGATTCGCATCTGGATCAAGGCTGGTGATCTTATTGTGCTACCAGCTGGGATTTACCACAGGTTCACCCTTGACACTGATAACTACATCAAGGTATGTAGAAGATGCAGGACGTGTTCTCTTTTAACTAAAAGACTGTCTATTCTTGTACCGAATCGAAGGACACAATAATGTGTTCTTTCTCGACTAAAAGGCTAAACTGATAGTGTTGTTCGGTGACTTGCATGCAGTTGATGAGGTTGTTTGTGGGAGAGCCTGTGTGGACAGCACACAACAGGCCACAGGAAGATCATCCAGCCAGGAAGGAGTACATCAAGATCTTGACTGAGAGGGTGGGACTGCCACTTCAAGCACACTAAGCCAAACTGTCAAATTGATGTCATTTAAAGAGTATAATTACTCATTAAATTGGCATATTATGTATGTAAAAGTATTACAGTCTTGATGGATTCTGGACATTGTATACTAGTCTCACACTGCTTTCCCTAGCCGTAATTGCTCTCTCACTACTCCATTTTCATGGTTTTATCGTGGGTTTAATGATTATTTATTTGTTGAAACTAAAATTCAAAATTTATAGAGATTTTGTAAAAATATATTTCAAGAAATGGACCAAACTTGGCTATTTTAGATGCAATTTAAAGTGGATGATGTAGATGAGAATTTATTGATTTAAGTAAACTCTGACTCTTGTGTAATAGTTTATAAATTATAGGAGAGTTATGCCCATAGCCCATTTACCAAAATAGACCCAAATCACTCTCAATTCATACCACAAGTTGAACAATGGCAAATTATACTGAATGTTCATTCGGTATGTGATGGGGAATATACTTCGGGTTCAGGCTTCCCGTACGCTCCGTATTTCTGTTTGGGTCGGGGTCAAACGGTTCAGTTCCTGGTCCACGGGTCAAAGCAAACCAACCTACGCTTGGGCATATAAAAGTGGCCTTGGCCCTCCATTTTATGGGTTCCTCCCCTCTCCTTCCTACACTCCCTCTCCCTCAATGAGAACTCTCTCCCTTCTCTCTAGAATATGTACTAGACAACATACAAGAACACTCATGAACAAAAGGCCTTCTTGAGCTACATTTATGACTTCTTCCCTTTGTTATTATTTTAAGATTCTCTTACTTGCTCTGTACATATGGTACAGTATACACTCAGACAATTATCCACATCAGTATGTAAATTGTGTATTTTAAATTCGGGTCTAACTTGCAAGGTGGACTCTAGTCCATGGTATAACAATTAACAACTGCTAAACAAGACTTAGTTGGCATTATAATTTTGTCAATTCCCAATTTTATCCCGACATGTACATCACATGAATTGTCATTCTTGTGCGGGGATAGTGGCAATTTTGTCAATGATTACGTCACCAGTGATGATACCTCTAGAGAATTTTGAATTTTCTAAAGACGTAAAAGCCCTTCCTACCAAGCCAATACCCCCTTCCAATTCAGTTAACCTGGACATCCAGTTTGGGGTCAAATTAGTACTTTCAAGCATATGCCACCATTTTGACTATAAAACGGGCATTAGAACCTGACGCAGCATATTTAAGGGGGGCTCTATCCGAAACATACAGAAACACTTTTCATACATCTTTTTGCGGGGAGAATTCTAAGCCGTGAAAAAATGGGCTCAATTGAGAAGGTATGTAATTCACTTTTCTTGAGATTTCAATTAAACCTTGTTTCTTTTTGAGTAGATTACGTGATTTTGTGGAAATCTGTCGTTGGAATTCGTTTTTTTCTTTGTTTTTTGTTTTTGTTTTTGTTTTGTTTTTTTTTTTTGTTTGTTTGTTTTTGTTTCGGTTTTTTTAAGGTTTGGTAGCTTGATTTTTGGGTAGTTCTGTGTTCTTGTACAAAGGCAGGGCTTTTTGTTGTTCCAATTTCGAATTCCTTTTGGGTTTTGGGTGTTGTTGATGATTGGGAAAGGTGGAAGTATCAGTAGAATTCAGTATTTGTTTGGTTGATTCCTTCGCGTTTTAGAATATTGGTTTTGTTTGTGGGGTTAAATTGAGTTTTCCCTAGTTATCTGCACATTCTTAATTTCTAAAGATTGGATTTTTATAGCAGCTACCAAATGATTTTTGCTTTTTTATTTATTTTTATTATTTTATTTTTAATATTTATATTGATTATGGTTATTTCCTGACTGGTGGCTTGAAAGTTGAAACTCAAGGATATATGATGTGCACTAAGAACATTTTCTGTTTGTCAGTAGTTTTAGAATGTAATTCCAGTAATCATAATAGGCTTAATATGATTTGTTAGAAACAATGTGGGTGTTTCTGGAAAATTTAAGAAGATATTCCATGTGGGATTATCTTGAAATGATATGCAATGGTAGTGAATTCTAGGTGAAAAAGAAACAGGTTAGAGTTATTGAGAATTGTAGAAAAATGTGTTTTCTATTGCCAGTGATATCTTCTTCTTCTTCTTCTTCTTCTTCTTCTTTTTTTTTTTTTTTTTTTTTTTTTTTTCAAATGGAACACCTGTCAACTCAAATTAAGAGCATCTCATTGAAACATCTATGTAAGAGAAAACCGTGTCATTTTAGTGACTGTTCTAGTAGCAGGCTTGTTCGAACATTAGTTGGGAATACAACGTACCTTCCAAGTTTGCTATTTTTCTCTATAAAATATGACTATTTTGATTTGCCTCCTCAACCCTACATCTCCCAGAGTCCCAGAATTATGTTTTGAACAGAACCGATCTGCTATTTCAATTTTGAGTGGGATTTTATATGATGGATGGCTCTTCCATCAAGCACTATGTATAGCTTGCTTTCCTCCTATGCAAATTACCTTCTGGAATACTTTTCCAGCTTTAGAAAGTTTTAGCCCAGAAATAGAATGTGAAGAAAATGTAGTTTCTATTTTTTCCAATATCTGTTTTCGTGCAGGATAGCAGGGAGGAAATTATTCAGGCATGGTATATGGATGATAGCAATGAAGATCAGAGGCTTCCCCATCACCGTGAGCCAAAGCAGTTTGTCTCCCTTGACAAACTTGCTGGTATGTCTTGATAGTTTTCTATATGGGAACAGCAGAACTGCATTTGTTTGATTTTTGGTTCCTTCACATCTCTCCCTCTATCATGTGTTTGGAAGAACTATGAAATTATGCAAAAGATTCCACCTTTACAATGAGTTTTTATGATCTTCTTGTTCTCTTAACAGTAATTCCCTGTTAGGTGCACATGCCTTATTTTTCACTTTTAAAATGATAATAAATTACTGTATTTGTAATTCTTAGAGCTTGGAGTGCTCAGCTGGAGGTTGGATGCTGACAAATATGAAACAGATGAGGAGTTGAAGAAAATCCGTGAATCCCGAGGATATTCATACATGGTATGTGCGAGTAAGAAAGGTGGAAATGTTGTTATTCTGGTAGAATTTTTCCCTTTTCTTGTTTAACCTCCCGCATGTTGATAATCCATAGTATTCTTCTTCAGGACTTCTGCGAGGTTTGCCCTGAGAAGTTGCCGAATTATGAAGAGAAGATCAAGAGCTTCTTTGAAGAGCATCTGCACACAGATGAGGAAATCCGCTACTGTGTTGCTGGGAGTGGTAGGTTGTGAGTTATTTAATTAATAGTTCTAATTCACCGGATATGTTATAGTTGCTAAGGCGTTTATCCTTTCAATGGCAGGCTATTTTGATGTGCGTGACAAGAATGAGGAATGGATCCGCATCTGGGTGAAGAAAGGGGCAATGATTGTTCTGCCTGCTGGAATTTATCACCGTTTTACCCTTGATTCAGACAACTACATTAAGGTTATCTAATAAGCATTTAGTTCAAACTATATTGTGTACATTCAATATTAGTTCATTGATAATTTGTTAGATGTTGTGTATAATGTGACTTGATTGTTAGTATCCAATACTCCAAAAGGGACATAACTACATATTTCATTGGTCGTTTGAAGCACATACTATTATCCAAAGGAACAATCCCCGCCCCAAAGACTACATCACCCCAATCTTTTTGGGGTGACGAGGGTAACCTGCAGCCACTATCTGAGGGTGTGCACTAAGTAGACCCCGCCTTGTGACCCCCGGCCTAGGTTGTTCATAGCTGACTGGTTCAAATCAAGAAGGCTGGGCCTTTCAAAAAAAAAAAAAAAAAGGCTGGGATTTGAACTCGTGATCTTGTAGTTGCAAGTTTGTATCTTTAACCATTTTGGCTGGCATTACCCCCGCATCATGCAATCTTGGATTCATATTCTGCAACATTTTAAAAAACCGCTCTTCTTTTGTAGGCAATGAGGCTCTTTGTCGGTGACCCAGTCTGGACCCCATTCAACCGTCCACATGACCATCTCCCTGCAAGGTACGTTTGCCTTTCTGAACTCACCTCATCATCCCTCTCCCAGCATTACCCCGTTGCTGCTGCTAGTACCCGTTTCAGAACATGTTTAAACACAGAGACGCGTTTTACTTAGATATTGAAGAAGTGATCTTTTTTTCACAGGAAAGAATACATTGAAACATTTGTGCAGAAGAATGATGGTACTGGCCATGCAGTTAATGCTGCTGCTTAAGTAAACTCCATAGCTGCTGCAGCTTTAATTTAACATTCTACCTATTATACAACCCAGAAATCTTAGACTATCCGATCTGGTAAATCTGTTATTGTGATAATATCATAATAATCCCACCCTTGTTGTATGGGTGACTGTTCTGTGTCTTTTGCTTCTGTTTGTACAATACCATATTCACTTTATAATAGTAATAACGGTGTTGGAATATGAGATGTTGAGTTGGTTTTATGTATGACTTTATAACATTTCAAAAATGAAAAAAAAAAAAGCTAGAAACTTTTATATAACTTTATAATATGATAATAAAGAAATTATATAGAGACTACACTAGAGGTTGTTGACTTCTTGTTGCATAAAGATGCATTAAAATACTGTATTTTAGAGTTTTTAATACTCCGTATTATTCTGAGCAAATTTCTTAACACTGGCAGCTTTTGTTTCAATAGGTTAACGTGTCACCTTATAGTGGGTTACACGTTTTGGCGTAACGTTGTTATTTTCTAATTATTTTTCTGATAATTTGTCTTGGCTTAGAGAGTATGACTACACCTAATACAATCAAATAATTTACAATTATAGAAATATAAATAACTTAGGGAGAATAGAAAATAGAAGGATAAAATTGGATAAAATTTGTAGGTGTAGAAGAGAAAGTGTAATATACAAGTTAATAGTGTATTTAATTACACTAACAAATTTTAGACATATCTTATGATTTATCTCATTCACCATTCTTTTGGCATGAGTGATAATGGGTCTTTAATTAAAGCTTGAGATAGATATTATGGTCTATTTTATTGGGTAGTGTTTGTAATATATATATATATATATATATATATATATATATATATATATATATAATCACTTGAATACTATTCTTAAAAAGGACTAAGTTTATTTTAATTTATATACTTACTAATTTTTCTTTTTCTTGTATTGAAAAATTAAAGCACACATCTTTTCAAAAAATAAAATAAAAATTAAAGCACATAAGGGGAGTTTAACTCCCACTTCTAGATTGCCATGTCAGCTTCATGTATGGCTTATTCATGGCTACCTTCCTACCTAATAATAATCTGATATCCAAAAATTTCTATTTTTGGCTTTTTCTCACAAACATGAAGTGATGAAAGATGATTATATGGTCAAATTTGATTACAAAAGAAATAGTACATTGTAATTATCCTAAACTCAAAGGACATTAACAAATTGTGGGTCCCTTTTATAAATATATATTAGTTAATTGGTGAGTTATAATTAATCGATACATCTCGCGAGTTCTTGAACTATATTGAATTTCTTGATTTATCGTTGTGATTTGGTGATGATTTGAAAGCTAAGGAGCCTATAATTGATCTATGCTTAATACACGAGATCCTTCTCTTTCTCATATTTATGGTCAAACAAATTTTGGAGCACATGGCTTGACCAATTATGCTTTCTTTATTGCATATATTATTTTTCTTTAATTTTTGTGATTTGCCTCCTCATATAATTAACTAATTAAAGCACTTGTATCCCATCAACGTCACATAAATTTCTCAGGTAAAGATTAGTTGATTTTCAATAAAAGTTTTCATTTTCAAGTCGACTTATTATGATAATTAAACTTAACTAATGAAAAAAAAATTTCTTTAATTTTTGTGCTTTGCTTCTTAATATAAGGCGCTTAGTTACATTGTATGGAATCATATCAAGACTGGACAAAAAATGACGTCTCGTCTAGTGGTTGTGCCTTAGGGCCGTAACCCCTTTTATGGTTAAATTACATTTTTTTTTTCTTGTTCACTTACTAGGGTATGTCCTAGAGTCAGATGTACATGTTTCTTTAGTTGGAACAAATTATTTACATTTATCCACAAAAAAAAAAAAAAAGGGACAAATTTCTCAAATAAAAATTGGTTGATTTTTAGTAAAATTTTGAGTTTCAAACCAACCTTATCATATTCATTAAGTTTATTTTAACCTTTGACATTATTTAATTTATTTAGTTGTCCAATATTCCAATCATACATGAACACACGTTCCCAAAGAAATTGTCACACATGAACTAATTTCATAACATAGGAATTTGTTTGATGTAAATACACTATTATATATTGAGACAAGATGCAGATGATATGGCTCCATTCCTGTCAAGAAAGTGGACCCCAACTATATGAATGTCATTTAATTTATTTATAATGCATGCATTTTCCCATTCTAGCTTTAGCTTGATTAAGGATTATTATATTGTTTAATTACCAAGATATTTTCCATGCCCTTGGGCAAGCCAAGATATTTTCCTTTGATTGATAGAAAAGCTTATACCTACTATTCAAAAATGTACTTTTGGTGAACATCATCTTATGATTATAATCAACAAAGGGCTACAAGAAGGTAAATCAATTTAGGTTGTCTACAGTTGATTATTGACTCAAATCGAGAAGGTCAATATAAGTCGAACTTGAAATATTAAACCAATCATGTCACAAAGTTTTACTCAACAATTGTATGTATTAACCGTCCGCTTACTAACAGCCTCCCAAGTTATTGAATTATTTAAATTAAGATTTGATTAATCTAAATTGAGTTATTACTAATTTCACGAGAACGTAACATTCTATTCACAAGACTATTAGGTATTTAGGTGAGATTGGAAAAATGGTTCCTTCCTAGTTCCTACCTATCTTTAAAAAAAAAAAAATATAAAAATCTAGAAATATAAAAATTTCTTGATTAAAAGAATGTGACCAAAATTTTCATTGTCAATAAAATCCTCAGCTTGTGGTCCATTCAAGTTTTAGTATAAACCGAACTATCAAAGGAAAAACATTTAATAACTGGAAAATATTTTATATTAAAAAAAAAAGACTCTTCATTTCAGTGGGTTCCACTTAAATATACTTCCCCATTTGGCCATTTCCAATTCCAGAATTTTCTGGAATTTAATTCCACTCTGAAAGTAATTTAAGAAAATGATATAATATGCATATTTTCCCATCCCACCCACCCCCCAAACAAAAAAAAAAAAAGGGGGCATAAATCAAACTAAAAGCACTCATATCAAGTTCAAATAACTATGTGAAACATTAAATTATAAATTTGTGTAATATTTTATGTTTCGAATGCATGATAAATTTTATAAATGTAATATTTTTTTTTTTTATCTATCCATACTTATGTAGCAATAGTTGCTATACTTTGAATGTGCCTGTGTGATAAAACTGTGGATTCTGAAAATTAAAAATGGGATTAATTAACTCATAAAGAGATGTCACTTTACCTAATGGTGACAAATAAAATGGACCATACAATTAAAGATTTATTAATACGTGAGGACTAATCTGAGAGAGAGATCTAAGGACAAGTGTAGATAGATTTTGCAAAAGTAGGTTAAAGTGAATTGTGAGAGCAAAAGGGAGAGGAATGTGGGGGCTGAAAATATCTCAAGCACCATGGCAACTGCTCTACCATACACAATTCATAAACTAATGCTTATTCTCTCTCACTACCTACCTATTTTAAGTAAACTCTCTCTCTCTCTCTCTCTCTCTATCCTCCATTGCAGCATATTCCCAAAGCTTTCATCTTGTCTCATCTCCCCCATGCCCAAAACCCTATGATTCATACACTGCTCAAATTTCAACTCTCTTGGACTCATCCATTCTTGAAAGCTAGTTAGGAAAATGACTGATCTTGTCTCTATCTCTCTCTCTCACTCATTTGTACTGTTGTTCATCTGATTAAATCTTGATGATATATAGTCATCCTCACTAATCCCAATCTTGTCTAGCTTGATCTATCCCCATTTCAAGAAAATCCCAGAAACCAATACCCTTTCAGCCAAAATCCCCAGCAAATTAAAGTTTTCTCCAGCCCACTGGGACAAGCTAGCAAAAGATTCCCTTTTTCTTGTTCCTGTGAGTTAAAGAAATTAAAATCCAAGAATTTGAAGCTAGCCATGGATCCATTTGGCAGCAGGGTGAAAGAAGAGATGATGGGGTGGAGTAGTTCTTCTTTGTCTGTCAACGAGGATTGTTTCGACATGTCCGAGGATAACCATAACCATGACAGTAGTGTTCCTCAGCCCTTGGAGGGGCTTCATGACACTGGCCCTCCACCATTCCTCACAAAAACTTATGACCTCGTGGAGGATCCGACAACCAACGACATCATTTCTTGGAGTGGAGGCAACAACAGCTTCATCGTTTGGGATCCCAGGAACTTCGCCACCAATCTCCTTCCTAGGTACTTCAAACACAACAATTTCTCCAGCTTTGTACGCCAGCTCAACACTTATGTAAGCTTTTCTTGATCTCAATTCAACCACACAAATATGTAGTGTTATATATACATATACACACACACAGACACACACAAAGTGTAATAACTTTAATTTTCAGACATGAATGAAGAATCTAGTCTAGCTAATTCTATGGATTTGTGGCTCTAGATCTGTTTGTCCCTAACATACATTGATAATGCTCAAGAAGTTACTAGATTTTCTGAGACTAGATAATCTATACTAGTACACTTTTTTGAAGGGAAATTCACTATTACTATCCAATAGTGTCATAGTGTATAGGCAAAAATTAAATTCTGATATTTAAATACAAAAATTATGCTCTACCCCGACTACTCTTTTCCGGACAATAGATTAGATACTGGTTATACTTTTTCTAGTTGTAGACATCTTAATTGCTCAATGACTTCATTATTTGATGCTAGTCTAGTTAATTCTATGTATTTAATTTGTAGGTCTAGATTTGTTTGTCCCTAATATACATTATTGATAATGCTCAAGAATTTACTAGATAATCTAGTTGATTTTTTTTTTAGGTTATGAGGGTAATTGCACCATTGCAATGGTTCGATTACAACAATATTGATAAGTATCGCACTCGTGATTTTTATATACAAAAATCACATTCCATGCACCCAATCGACCTGTCTTTTGGGACAATAGATTTTAATTTGAATTGGGTATACTTTTCTAGTTGTAGACATCTTAATTGTTCAATGGTTTCATTATTTGATGCTAATTGCTCAAGACATGTTTCTCAAAATTTTATCCTAAGCTTTAATCTAACCAGCGGCTATGAAAAAAAAAAAAAAACAGTTATATTTTTGAATATCGATCTTATGTAATGATGCAAAGTTGTGGATATCTTATGAGTGAATGATATATATATATGTCAATTTTACAGATGCAATGTTTCCTAATATAGGTTACCTATAATACTATATATCAATGAACATAATGTCTGTCTTTGTTTCCATGCCGATACGACCATGACAGAAACATTATAGTTGGATTAGATAGAATTCTTGTTTAATTAGTTCAAGAATTGAAAACAAGCGAATCTATTATATATGCAGGGATTCAGGAAGGTTAATCCAGACAAATGGGAGTTTGCGAATGAAGGATTCTTGAGAGGGCAAAGGCACTTACTGAGAACCATTAGGAGGAGGAAGACACCTCCACAGACCCAATTGCAAGCTTCTGGGCAAGGAGGCGGCTTAGAGTGTTGTGTTGAGGTGGGAAGATTTGGATTCGAGGGCGAAGTTGATCGATTGAAACGCGACAAGGAAGTTCTTATGATGGAATTAGTGAAGCTCAGACAAAACCAGCAGACCACCAAAGCCTGCCTGAAAGCCATGGAGCAAAAGATCAAAGGAACAGAAGTTAAGCAGCAGCAGATGATGAGTTTCTTGGCGAAGGCGATGAAGAACCCAGACTTCATGCACCAGATAATGCAGCAAAGGGAGAGGAGGAAAGAGCTTGCAGAAGCCATCAGTAACAAGAGGAGGAGGCCTATTGATCAAGGCCCCAGCAATTTGACTACTGCTCATAATGATCTTCAAGGTTTTGGAGGTGTTTCTGGGTATGGTAGCTTGGAGTTGGAAGAGCTTGCAATGTCCATGGAAGAACCAGGGAGTTCTGGTAATATGATGATGAACTTGAATCAAGAATGTGGTGGTGGAGGAGGAGGGGGTAAGGGGCCTGATGATGAAGGGTTTTGGGAAGACTTGTTGAATGATAGTAATAAGCTGATTGAAGAAGAGATTGGATTGCTAAGTTTTGGAGATGATAGAGCATATGATGATGATTAAATAACATCTGCACATGGACATAGTGTCTTTATAAGATAATGTAAAAGTCCAAACTGAATTAACAGTCAGACTGTATGTCTATTTTTACGTATATTATCTCGATGACATTCGAGTTCCAGATTATGGTATTCAAATGTGATTATCTGTGCTAGTTTATTTATCATATAACACGTGAAAGTCCAAACTGAAGTAACACTGTAGTGAGACTGCACAACTATTATTTATATTATTTTCAACGATATTTGAGTTTCAGATTATGGTATTGAAAGTAAAAACTGAATTAACAGTAAAATTGCATATCTTATTATTAGATATTATTTTTGACAATATTTGAGTTCTAGATTGTGGTATAGGAATGTGATTTTGTGTGGTGACTTTTCTTTGTTAGCATGTGATTTAATTTAATTTTTTCAAATTTGGATTTGATAAGATGCATGCACTAATGAATTTTCCCTATATAGAATTATATTGTCAATTATATGACAATGTTCTTGCATAGGAAAAGGAACTCCAGAAGTGTCTAAAACAGCAGCTTTTCTTCTTTTTGGGAGATGGGAATTCAGAGCCCAAAGACACACACATCAACTTGCATTGACGTTTCTAGGACTTTCATATGTAAAACAACTTTGGTGTTTTTCTTTATTGGAAATCCTAGGCATTAGGCAACCTAGAATTGTCTTAGTTATATGTATTTAGTGCAGTTTAATTGTGTCTATATATCATGTATGTGTAATTAACTTTGAAGTTTAGTTTCTCCAACTCAATTAAATTAAAAAGAGATGAAAATAACAAATTATTATGTAACAACTTCCTTTATTCGGTATGATCAGGAGATCGATCTATGTGTACTATACTCTTGGGACTCCTTTATAGCGTCATCATTCATCAAAGACGATAATTGGAGTACTTCTTATGGCTCATGTTGTTTTGAATTGCAGACTTCTAGTTGAGCAACTAGGTGTTTTCTCATTTCTTTAAAAAATAAAAAAATAAAAAAAAATAAAAAAAAAAGTAGCCAGTACTAAAACATATTGTTAGCTAGTTCATAGATAAGCTAATTAAGAATAACTAATTATATACTTCCTCCATCTCTTTGTATGTATTTGATTCAGTTAACAAGGCATGATTGATTAATTTTTTATAATATTAAATTTAATATATTATACAAAATTTATATATTTAGAAACTACACTAAAAGTATTATTAAATATAAAAAATTAAATTTAAAAATAAATAAAAAAATAAATAAAGAGTTGATTTGATCAATGATAATAGGTAGGACATATAAAATGAGACGAAATGAGTTATATAAAATGTTATGGGTGTGTTTAGTTTCATGATATAAAAAACTTTTATATTTCTAGAAAAACATAAAATGGAAAACAAAAAATGTGTTTTTGGCATTATTTTAATTTTTTTTTATTTAGAAAACTGTTTTTTCTATTTTTATTTTTTAATTTAACAAGGTTTTAAAAAATAACTTTTTTACTATTAATTTCATCTATAACCACTATTCTTATTTATATATAAACTTTCACTCACTTATATATTAGAAAATGCTTCTTAGTTCTTACCTCTCATGAATTTATTCTCCTAGATTTTTGTCGTGATGTGGCTTTCACTCATTGGGTGCCATGAATTTGTTAACCCACCACTAATATTATTTTTTTTAAAAAAATTAGTAACTAATTATCTAATAACACATCATGAGGATGAATTGGAGGGAAAAAATAGGAGGGGTATTTAGCATTACTCCTTATATATCTATAATTCCAAATGAAAAAGATAATCAAATTTCAAAACAATTTCATATTTTTCATTTGAAATATAATACGAAACATATATACTGATAATAAATGCGTTTTTTCTATTATTCTTTTAAAAAAATTATGTGAAAAGAAAAAAGAAGAAAGAAAGAAAGAAACAGAATGTATTAAATAAACCCTATATTTTTCTTGATAGTTGATATGAATAGTCCTAAAACGTGTGGTCTAGTGACTTCAACTTTGACGACTCGAATGATCGTTTGCTTTCTGGGTCCACATCGTTTTGGTTAGCGAACCCCTTAGACCGACAGAGATTAAGGTGGCATACGACATACGATACAATAATAATTTGGTAATTAAATTAGTGTAATGTCATTTCAAGAAACTACGTTTGGACAAAGCAATATATATATATATACACACACTTCCAGCATCAACTGAAAGTCAAAATGGAAACAGTGTATATGTTCTTGAATCTACATCAATAGTACAATAATATATATCATTGTCATTCTCGATATTACAATATTTATGTCGACCAACAATTTATATATTAATAATTAATTGTGCAATGGAATTCCATTATTAATGCAACTTGTCCTAAGTGTCCAATTATACATGATTAGATAAAATGCTTTAATTTAGAGCACACAATTGGTGACCCAAGTTTTTTTTTTTTTAATGAAAAATTGGAAAAGAAAAGTTGAGTAGTAGGAAAGGCATTCTTTTTTAAGTAACACAGAATACTCGTAATCATTATCAGAGAATGTGTATTGAGTAAAACATCTGATCATTTTTGTATAATAACTTACAAAATACACATAAGATATTGACAAGAATCGAGCTTGTAACCTTCAAGTACGAGAATCATGTTCTGTCCACTCGATCACCCGTTTTGGGCATAGAGAGGGGGCATTGTTGAGTAAGCAAAGAGTGAAAGAGGCAGGGACATGCATATTCATAGTTTCATGGGCATGGCATGAGTGAATAATCATGGAATTGAATGGCTTCACAATATTGTCTGTCTGTCTATCTATCTGTATGCCTGCCTGTTTGTCTTGTGAGGATAGGGTTGCACATGCGGTGCATGATCCTACTTACAAACTATATATATATATATATATATATATATATATATATATATCCCATCCTTAATTGTGCTTTGCTTTCTTTGCCATCATGCCCTCCCACTATATATCACTACATCATTAATTACCTCTCAAATTTGATTTTAATTCTTTTTTCATGAAAAATATATACCTTTAAATTAAACATCCCGAATTTATTGAATAAAACGCAGATGATGAACTTAAATGTAATAGTGAATTCAATTCCTATTATTGGCCCATAATTCCTGAATTCAAGTGGTGCATTAGTCTAAAACAATATAAGCAAATTAAATCACAAGAACATCAATAGACCCTTAATTTAAAACTTTAATTTCTGTAATAAATTGTCACCTTTAATTTGGAATCCTGGTTGAACTGACATATCTCCTTGTTGGGATACAGTTGGAGCATTAAAAAGGATGAATGATAGAGATGGGCCATCAGTCCATCAAAAAGGATGATTTGTATGTATAGCATGGCCATGGCCATGGCCATTCTCATGATCTGCTAATAAAGTCATACATCACATCAGTATGCTTAAACTATACTAAATGCTACTAAGTGCTCCAGCTATGAATTCTACTTGTAATTGGGTCATATTATTTTAGGCTTACCTGATCCGGCCTATAATAACCTGCAAGCCATTTTTGCCATATAAGGAGCCCAATACATTTCAGGCCCACATAAATTTGTTGATCTGATCATTATAGGGTGCACAATGTGCCCTGGCCCAAAACGACGACGTTTTTATAAGTTGGTGAGGAGTTGACGCGACAGACACTATTCCGTCTGTCCAATTCTGTTACAATTTTTTTTTTTTTTAGGTTTATGTGTATTATATTAGAAATTTAGGTGTATTTTACTATACAATTCTATACATACGGAATAAGAAATTTTTTTTAATTTTTTTTAGAAGTTAACAGCAAAAACGGGAAACGACGTCGTTTTGTGTGTCCTAATGCACGATATAATTTAATTTGCCATCATTTGGCGCAATAAGCATTATTGCGTGGACCATAATCCACACAGCTGTATAGATCATATTATTAAATAATGTACATTTAGTACACAAATAATGTACTTTTAATATATTAAAAATGTACATTATTTGAGTAAAGAAACAATCAAAAGACAAGTAACCTTATTAATTGGACATGTTTTATTAAACATGTACACAAGAAAAGTAGAGTTCAATATATCTTTACATTATTGATATGATCTAAAATTTTTATAAAGACTTATGGCAAAGTATATACTCAACTGATAATTTTATTTGATAGATAGATATATTAACAAAAGCTTGTCTACACAAAACACGATTCCCAGTTACAGTGGACTGGGTTTCAGACGTGCAAAAGTGGACCATTTTGAACATACTCCGTGAAAGCCAAGGCGACCAAACCCAACATAGCAAATCTGCCATTCCAGATCTCAGCGTCGGCGGTCATCAACCCTTTCGACTTCGACTCCGCCGTCACGCCTTGGAACAGCGGAATCACCGACGCCAACGTTAGCAGCGCGGTGGAGCCCAGGAACCACGTGACGCCGCCGTTGGAAATCTGAGCAAAGAGGTCGCCGCCGTTGGCCAGCTCCATTCCCATCGCCGCCGCGAACCCAATCATGGCTAGCCGGCCGTTGATTCTCTCCGGCCCCGGACCGCTGAAAGAGAAGACGTCCCAGAGATTGGTGCTAGATTTCGCCGCCACTTTGGGTGCTGGAGAAGGAGGAGGAGTTGGTTTAGGCGCTGTGGTAGATGACTCCGTCACCGGCGTGGTTGGTTGCTCTTTCCCAGCATCATCCTGCAACAATAACACCATTGAAAAACGACCATTAACGTTTGACTCATCAGATCAAGCAAGAAAAACATGAACTTGAACATGATAGCAAAGGCATATATATTACCTCAGACATGCTCCTGACAAGAAAGCTAGGGTTCCTCTGCAACCGTGGCAAGTAGCTTGAAGGAACAAACTGGCTCACCCCATTTCTGTTCTTGAAGCTGGTGACTGGGCTTCCCAGAATTGACTGCATCACAACAGTTGAAGCCATGGAATCTGCAGAGATTTAACACAGCTATATCTTCTACAAGGGTTGTAGCAGATCTAGTATACAGCTCAGAAGCTAAGAAAGCAAGATCAGAATCAGAATCAGAATCTGTATGTGTATTGACTCTTCCTTGATGGTATTATTGCATAAAGGTGGAGGTTGGTGTGCCTACTTATAGTGCATGGGAGATGAGAGAGGACAATAAAGGGTGGATACTTTTGGATCCACGTAATGAGGCTCTGGGCCACAAAAGAACCCCCAATCACGTGAAGTATAAAGTGTGGACAAAAGATTCAGCAGGTGATGTGGCCTTCTCATATTCCAGTAAATTTGGATCTCCAGAACCTCCTAGAATCCTGCAAACCTGTAAAGAATCAAATTTCATATATTTGGCATATTAAAACGTGTACTCCAATTGAAAATGAATTACAAAATGATTGCACCCAATTCAGAGAATTTCACCATCTATCAGCAAAAGAGATAAATTTTACAAATTTATCAAAGTGTTTATACACAACAATAGAACAATTTCATACCTCCCTAGTAAGACCTGTGACTACCAATAAAACGAAGCTATTAAATTTCATTTTGGATTACAAAAACTATAGCATTGGTGCATATGTGTTGGAATATAATCTCTACTCTTAAGTAAGAATTAAGGATATTTCTTTTATACATTTAAATAAAGCCCATAACTTTGGTTTCTAAACATGTGTCTAAAAAATATTTGGGCATCAAATGGTGCAAATTCTCGTTAAGAGTCGAGGGAGTGCAACAAAAGTAGTTCAAAACTAGAATGAAACAGAGAAACAGCTTCATATGCTTGAACTCCACACAACTGCACTTCGGTTTTCATTTTTCAGGTTTTGCAACATCTGAAGAATATGCAAGCAAGCATCTTACTCAGCAATTAGCCTAATCAGAAAATATGAACTGGCCATTTTATATATATTCTGTTTCAGTCTCCGTTCTCTAAGTTGTACATCTGAACTTTATATACAAGAACAACTGCAAAGTTTAAAAGAAAACTCAAGAACAAATGGTAGGATACCCATGATTCCATGAGGATAGTCAAGCACACACCTTTAGATATTCACTGCCAGAGATTAATAGTATTTTCAAATCTGCTTCTCAAATCACAATGTTATTCAAGTAATAAGAGTAAGACAGATATAAGAGCAAATTGAAAGTAAACACTGGCAATTTTACGTACCAATGAATTAAATAAGGGAAAGCACTATTAAAAACAAGTTGAACAATGTGATCATAGTGACAATTTGGAAGCTCCATCAACATCTATGAAGCTCCACACAACCTGACAACCCAGAACTATATAAAGATCAAATTAAGATAGCACTATATATTAAGAAATATTAGAGTTCATTTACAAAGAACAGTCATTCATTCATCATGCCCACAGCACTGCAATTTGACAGTATCTTGCATATGCATCACAGCATTCTCAGACTTGGGTAAACACATCAAATCTCAAGCAATGCCAATAAACCCCAAAACAAATGTGCTTGAACCATGATTTGAATTAACCCAATGAATTTGAAATCAAAACCTCAAACAGCAGCATATTGAACCAAAACAGCAATTGAATTGCTTATATCATATATAAAGTCATTGAATAAACCCGAGTACAAAAACAGCTATTTTACAGAAGTCCAACTATCACTTTCTATCCGCTAAACCCCTAAAACTCCTGAGAAGCAGAGCCAATGTCACCCTTGGCTGAGCCAGCCTTCTTGGGCAACAGATTCTGATGAATGTTAGGCAACACACCACCATTAGCAATAGTCACATTGCCCAAAAGCTTGCTCAGCTCCTCATCATTCCTCACAGCCAGCTGAATATGCCTCGGCACAATCCGATTCTTCTTGTTGTCCCTGGCTGCATTCCCTGCTAATTCCAAAACCTACATCGCAACACGAGAGCATTTAATAAACAACATCCAAACACAATTCATGCGAAAACATATCAATAAATCGTTTCCATACAAAACCCTATAGCAAACACATGGATACACATAACCGAATCGGATTCAGTAGAAACCAGTAGTTGATCAATAGAATAGCGAAAAAAATACCTCTGCGGCGAGATACTCGAGTACAGCAGAGAGATACACCGGAGCTCCGGCACCGACACGCTCGGCATACTTCCCAGCCTTGAGGAAACGCGCGATCCTACCGACGGGGAACTGGAGCCCCGCCTTCGACGATCGGGACACCGACTTCGACGCCTTAGGCTTGCCCCTTCCGGCGCCACCCTTTCCCGCTCCTGCGCCGCTAGAACTCATTTTTTACTCAGCAAAAACCCTAATCAAAACTCGTGAATGATTGAAGAAGAATGCGGCTTTTCTGTAGCGATGCTGTTAACGCAGACGGGAGAACTGTATATATAGCTAACGGTAGCGTGCTGTGATTGGTCGAGAAAAGGGCACACGAATCGCCAGCGTGGCAGTTGGCCCCGAATTTTTTTGATTTCCCTCTATCTCAAAATAATTCAAAAATCATTCGAAACTAAAAAATTCAACTTAATTATTTAACATCATTTGACCAGCCCGGCGACCAAAATCCTTTGTGCCCACCGTCATTTCAGCATTTCCGGCAACCAAAATCCAAAAAAAAAAAAAAAAAAAAACTTTGAGGTCAAACTTGGATAATCCACTAGCCAATCAATCGTTATCCATCACGGCAGAATCTTTTGACCTTTTATCATCTTCATTATTATCTTAATCTTAATCTTAATGTAAATACAGGAACAAAGCACTGCGGTTTATCAGCATATTTCAGGTTTTGGCAAGGATTTCAAGCGGTCAATACATCGGAGAGGCAACGGACGAGAAGGTACGTACTATTAACCCCATTCTAGTGAGTATCTGCACTCTTAGTCTTAGCTCTGAAACGATGACACTTGAAACCCAGATATTTTCTTTAAATAAGTTAAATTTTTGTTTGTTAATTCCGATTGTTCATTGCATGGGTATATACTATATACTGACCTGAAAAGTTCATGACTTTATATCTAACAAGCTGATTGCCAGCAGGAAGGATATGGGTTTTGGTTTTATTGTTGATATGGATATAATGATTTCAATAAGTAAATGAGGGAAAAAGAAGAGTGTAGAAAAGGGTTCTGTATGTAGAAATTGTATAAAAGGATGTGCATTCCATAGTATACACAAGATATAATAAGAATTGCGCCGAAAGGGGTGACCGAGTGAGTGGATAATGATTTAGTACAAATGGTCACGAGTTTGATTATTATCACCTTCTTGGTCGTTATAGTATGCTTTAATTTGCAGGTTATTATACAGGAACGGATTTACTTAGTGCCTTGGTTATATTGAAGTAGCCTAAATACTTCGTAAACCTCTGTAGTTTGCTTGTTTTACTCAGATTGTTTAACTCAACAGTTTTGAGTGATAACTGAGAAATAAATGTGCCAACAATATATATTTTGGCAGAGGGATATGATGAAGAGTGGTATTTTCCCAAGAAAATTTGTAAAGGGCAATTTCAGTGGCAATATGTGGTATATTTATTTCATGATGATGATCTTGCTGGTGGATTGTAGCCCCCCTGAGAATCCCATAAAGTGCACCAATAATGCCAAAATTTGCACCATCACCAATAAGTACAGTGCGTTCCCGGACAGCACAATATGTCGAGCAGCCAGTGTTGAATTCCCAAAGACGGAAAAGGAACTTGTTGCCATTATTGCCCGTGCAACCAAGGAGAAGCGGAAAATGAAGGCCACAACTCGGTTCTCACAAAGTATCCCTAAGCTGGCGTGCCCTGGAGGTGACAACAGTCTTCTCATTAGTACCAAATACCTTAATCAGATAGTAAAAGTCGACAATCAGAGCATGACCATGACGGTAGATAGTGGAGTGACCCTCCAGCAGCTGATCAGCGAGGCTGCCAAGGTTGGGTTGGTGTTGCCATACACACCATACTGGTGGGGCTTGTCAATAGGAGGGTTGATAGGTACCGGGGCACATGGGAGCACATTGCGGGGTTTAGGGAGTGCTGTTCATGATTATGTGGTCCGTATTCGGATTGTCACTCCTGCTACACCTGAAGAGGGTTATGCAACTGTCCGACAACTCGAAGAAGGTGACCCCGAGATCAATGCAGCTAGGGTCTCCCTTGGAGTGCTTGGAGTGATTTCACAGGTACCTAATGCCAACATTATTATTATTTTTATGAAATAAATGCACATTAACACAGTGAATTGTGGTGTAAATTGTATGAAAAAGGTGACTCTGAAACTGGAACCAATGTTCAAACGGTCCATCACCTACATAGGGAAGGACGACGCAAACTTGGGGGATGAAGCAGTCGTGTTCGGGTCCCAACATGAATTTGGTGACATCACTTGGTTTCCAAGTGAGCACAGAGTTCTGTATCGCGTTGATGATCGTGTCCCAACAAACACACCGGGTGACGGTCTCTATGATTTCTTGGCATTTCAGACTACAGATTCAGTTTCATTGGCAGAAGATCGAAATGCAGGTTACCTTAAAATTTGTGTATGGTTGCTAGTAATTCAAGATTTCTGCCATACTCTCTTCTGAATGTGTTATCTTGTTTGTGCAGAGGAAATTCAGGAATCAAGAAACAATGCAAATGGAAAATGCGCAAATGCAATTACCTCTAGAGTCATGACTGAAGCTGTCGGAAATGGATTGAAAAACAACGGTGATTGTTACATCATCATAGTCATGCATACAAAACATTGCTGAATTTTACTCTGATTATCTTTTGTAACATAAACAGGTTATAACTTTACTGGTTATCCCGTGATTGGATATCAAAATCGACTGCAATCATCTGGTTCTTGCCTAGACAGCAAAGAGGACGGATTAAGAACCGCTTGTCCATGGGACCCTAGAGTCAAAGGATCATTCTTTCACCAAACTACATTCAGCATTAGCTTGTCCAAGGTGAAGGGTTTCATAGAAGATGTGCAAAAGTTGGCAAATTTGGAGCCAAAAGCGTTGTGCGTTCTTGGACTCTATGGTGGCGTCGTCATGAGATACATGACAGCTTCAAGCGCCTACTTAGGGAAACAAGACAACTCCATGGAATTTGACTTCATCTATTACAGAAGCAAGGATCCATTGGCTCCTAGGCTTTACCAAGATGTCCTAGAAGAGATCGAGCAGCTCGGGGTTTTCAAGTATGGAGCCTTGCCCCACTGGGGGAAGAACAGAAACGTGGCGTTTCTAGGTGCAATCAACAAGTACGCAAAGTATAGGAAGTTCTTGAAAGTTAGGGAAAAGTATGATCCTGCCGGGCTGTTTTCAAGCGATTGGACTGATCAAATTCTTGGTCTCAAAGATGGTTTAACCATTACAAAGGAGGGTTGTGCCTCTGAAGGATTGTGTATATGTTCAGAAGATTCTCATTGTGCTCCTAGTAAAGGATACTTCTGTCGTGTAGGAAAAGTGTACAAGAAAGCAAGAGTCTGTACTAAGATTAACACTACTTAATCTTGTGTTCAATACTATATTACTATATACAAAGTATTGTATTTTAAAGAGTTTGAACTGATCATGATCAGCTATGTGCAGACAACCTAGGATCATTTACCTCGAGCAAATTTGGTTGGTTTGTCTTCTTGTGGTCATTTTCTGGTTAGGGTGGCGGAATTTATCCAGTACACACTAATTCATCCCGTCACTAAAAAAGTATTGTATTTATTGTTCATGAAGTATAAAGAGTTATATGTGCATTGGAAATTTCTAATCTCAGAACCAATCTAAAACAAAATCTGCAGCAGAACAAAAAAACCAGACTTCAATCCTTGGCTGTTTGTTCATTATCTGTTTGAACCAAACCGGTCTGGGAAGCCGCCGGACCGGCGGACAGAACATGTTCCAACCTTCCGGCGACGTTGTGGCCGGATTCATCGATCAGTGACGCGTTACTCCCCATGCTACTCCTCACACATTCGAGAAACTCTTGCGCTCCGTCGCAGACGCACTGGAAAGAATCCCAACGCTCCCTGAACTTCTCCAGCGCGGCGTCGACCTCCGCCGTCGTCTTTTGCCCTTTGCAGCTCTGCTTCGCCTCCAGCACCGCCGTGGCTGCATTCACGAGATCATCGTACGCATTCTTTATAGGATCCACCACCATGTTATCCATCAAAGACATCCCCTTTACCTGAATGTATATACTATACGGGTTAGAAATTTGAATTACCGCCGGAAAGTTTTGGCGAGATGATGAAGAACGGCAAGAAATTAAAAGAAATCTTACGCGTGGTGGAAAGGTAAGAAAATTACTGCAGTTTAGACGTTTCTATACGGTTGGGATTTGGAGGATGATGAAATCTCAACGAGATCAATATTGTAACAGGGTATATTCAATCATATCGTGCCACCGTTTCTTGTATATACCCGTTCTTTCAACAAAAACCGTTTCTAACTGTCCTACTTTCTTTGTGATTCTTGAAAAAAAAAAAAGAAAAGAGTTCAATTAATAATAAAATACTACGGAAATGGAAGGATTGTACATTTGTAATGACATGAATGTTATGGAAATGCTCGCATGGGTAGCTCAACTGGTCATAGAGGTGAAACTTTGAAATAATGACCAGGGATCGAGTCTTACCAGCGGTAACCTCACAAAGTGAGGGGGGCTTGAGCTTTTTGTGCGCAGTGAGCACCGGTCTAACCTCTATTTTGTCGGGTCGGCACCGGTCTAACCTCTATTTTGTCGGGCCGAGCCACCATAATTTACATCCTCCCAAATACTCTGTCAGGTCAGGGTGTGGGGGGCCCTTAGGGTTGGGGTTTTAGCCTTTTTTTGGAATAATGAATGTTATGGAAATGTTGTTGGGAGAGGTTGAACTTTTGTATATGCAACAATGACAATAAAAGAACTAAATTAAAGAACTTTTGTTACACCATTATTGATTTTACAATCTGTAAACACTTGTAAGCTAAAGTAACTAAAACTTGACTCTACTAGTTATATTTTATGATCTTTCGATAGTCGCCGGCCAACTAAATCTATTAGTTGAATTAAGTAAAGAATAACGAAAAAGTTAAAACACGAGAACTAAAGCAAAAAAAAAAAAAAAAAAAAAAAAAAAAAAAAAAAAACAGTTTTTTTGCCATAAGCTCGTGAAAAATCAGAACCATTTTCTTACTATTTTTTAAGATTTTATACCAGAGGCGCTAAACCAAATAAGAAAATGAAGTTATGTAATAAATCCTCCAAATCTCGGATTAAAATCACTGCCTGGATTTTGAATTTGGTGCTAACAAGCTACCTGAAACATTACAATACCTCCCTAATTTATGAAAAGAAAACTACTCTGTATTTCATTAAGGCAATAAATCTCCATAAATCTCGATAATGCCTCCGAATTTGCTAAATATTCACCTTCAAATAGGCATGAAAGACTTTATTAGAAGTTACTTCACTACCTAGCCCGAGGGTCCAATGTCGAGCACTCTCTTAGACACTAACCGACAAACCACGCTAGAGCCGATCGCTTGGGTTCTATAACTTTGTCCATCAACGTATGTGTATATATATATATATATATTGAGTATGAACGAGTTAATATAATCAAGAGTTAATTACCGAAATTGTCATTTGACTATAACAAAATTACCAATTTGATCTCAAGTTAATGGTTGACTAAAGGAGGACCAAATTGGTTACGATTTTAAAAATTGAGGGACTTAATTGGTTAAAAAAATCATCAATGACCAAATTAATAATTTCACTATAGTCAATGGACCATTTTGGTAATTAATTCTATAATCAAATTTCACATTCTATAAAAGAATTTTGGGTCAACCAAGTGGCTTGTAGTCCACTGGTATCGGATTGTCCTCCTATGTGAGAGGTGTAGGTTTCGTGCCTCAGTATAGGCATAGATTATATGGGTATTCCCCTTCCTTTGTAATAATAAAAAAAAAAAGAATTTTGGGTCAAACTTATAAAAATTAAATTATGTAGGCATTGACTCCCGTGATGGACTGTCGGATGAGGTATGGAGAAAAAAATGGGTATTTAATCAATTTAATCAAATTTCCAGCTACAAAGGTGCCCATCTCTTCTTTTGGTATTTTATTCCGAATTCAAAATCAAAATGAGGTCTCCTCGTCTCGCCATCTCTCTACTCTTCTTCTTCATCCTCAACGCCGCCGCGTTTTCGGCTCCGGCAGCCACTCCGGTCGCCACCTACACCGTCCAGATCGAAAGCATAATGCCCGACACATTGGAGGCAACCTGCGACATAAACGGGCGCAGTCTCCCCACCCACAAAATCAAAATTCTGAAACAAGCCAACTTCACCGTGCACCTCAGAGACGACAAGGACTCGAAGACCATGTCGTGCGATCTGCGATCCGGAGATAAACACGGGAAGTTCGTGATGTTCGACAGCCGGAAGTGGAACGTGTCTTCTTACTGTGCTCCCGGCGCCGTTTGCCGGTGGAAAGTTGTTTCGGAAGGGATCTGTCTTTTTGTGATGGCTGCTTTTGACTGTCTTGTGAGTTATTATTGGACTTAATTAATGTTGACCATTGTCTAAAGGTTGTACCACAATTATTTGCTCTCATGCATTTGCCTATAATATAAGTTTTTTTTTTTATATGAAAAAATTACAACTTTTTTGGATTACCTAGTATAAGTTATATTATTTGGATGAGGAGAAAAATTGACATTTTATAAAGATATACACGCTTGTTGGAAGGTTAACTGGCTCATAAAGGGTTAAAACTTGAAAGTAATGATAAGTTTAATCACATATACAGACCCTTTAGACTGAATTTAGTCGATTAAAAAGGTTATGATGATAAATCTAATCTAATTTTATTAATAGTCAAAAATAAAAAATAAAAATAACGGCTAGTATAGAAAATTAGATATATGTATTTAATTAATTGGTTGTTGCTTGTTGAGCATTAATGTTTAACTTTAATTATTTTCATATTATAAATAAATATAAATATTTACTTTAATTGGATTGATTTTTTCACTTTTCCACATGAGCACTTGCCAGTTGGTAATTTATTTTAATTTGAATATTTATTTAAATATGGATTGAAAAGAAGAAGCGGCAATGCAAAAAAAGAATTGAAGAAGAAAGCATGGAATCTGGTTGTTTTGCCCTAATCTCTCTACTCGTACTGGTCTTCATTCTCAACGCCTCGTTTTCGATTCCGGCGGCCGCTTCCGCCACCACCTTCACCGTCCAGATCGAGAGCGTAATCCGTAACGAATTGCTGACAGCCTGCGACTTAGACGGCCGGCGTCTCCCCCGGCAGTCAATCCGATCTCTAAAACAGGGCAACTTCACGGTAAACGTCAAACACGACTACGACTACCGCACGCTGACGTGTAACCTGTTGTCCGGCGATAAACGCGGCAGGTTCGTGTTGTTCGACAGCCTGAACTGGAACGTGTCGGCAATCTGTGCTCCTGATTTTGTGTGTCGATGGATGGCTGCTTCAGAAGCGGTATGCCTTGGCGATGATCTCTCTCACTGTCTTGAGGTTTATTATTGGCAGTCTTAATTAACATACAATTATCTGGTCTCATTTGGTTATAATCAAAGGTTTAAGGAAATGTTATTTTTTGTTTAATCCTAATTAAGGTTAAGTCTATGCTAATGTGTTACTAAAGTTGGTTAATCCAAAAAATGAGCACAAGAAAATAAACCAACATAATTTATTGAGATAAATTGGCCTAGGTTGTTTGCATATAGCTGACCAGTTCAAGCTTGTTAAAATACAATACTTTGTACTTGTATAGTAATATAGTACTGAACTAACACAAGATTAAGTAGTGTTAATCTTAGTACAGACTCTTGCTTTCTTGTACACTTTTCCTGGACGACAGAAGTATCCTTTACTAGGAGCACAATGAGAATCTTCTGAACATATACACAATCCTTCAGAGGCACAACCCTTCTTTGTAATGGCTAAACCATCTTTGAGACCAAGAATTTGATCACTCCAATCGCTTGAAAACAACCCGGCAGGATCATACTTTTCCTTAACTTTCAAGAACTCCCTATACTTTGCATACTTGTGGATTGCGCCTAGAAACCCCACGTTCCTGTTCTTTCCCCAGTGGGGCAAGGCTCCATACTTGAAGATCCCGAGCTGCTCGATCTCTTCCAGGACATCTTGGTAAAGCCTCGGAGCCAATGGATCCTTGCTTCTGTAATAGGTGAAGTCAAATTCCATGGAGTTGTCTTGTTTACCTAGGTAGGCGGTTGAAGCTGTCATGTATCTCATGACGACGCCACCATAGAGCCCTAGAACACACATCGCTTTTGGCTCCAAATTTGCCAACTTTTGCACATCTTCTATGAAGCCCTTTACCTTGGACAAGCTAATGCTGAATGTAGTTTGGTGAAAGAATGATCCCTTGACTCTAGGGTCCCATGGACAAACGGTTCTTAATCTGTCCTCTTTGCTGTCTAGGCAAGAACCAGATGATTGCAGTCGATTTTGATATCCAATCACTGGATAACCAGTAAAGTTATAACCTGTTTATGTTACAAAAAAATGGTCAGAGCTAGTAAAATTCAGCATTATAAAATATGATGATGTAACAATCACCGTTGTTTTTCAATCCATTTCCGACAGATTCAGTCATGACTCTAGAGGTAATTGCTTTTGCGCATTTCCCATTTGCATCATTTCTTGATTCCTGAATTTCCTCTGCACAAACAAGATAACATATTCAGAAGAGACTATATATATATGACAGAAATCTTGAATTACGTACTAGTATCATATCCACAGACAAATTTTTTTAAGGTAATTAACCTGCATTTCGATTTTCTGCCAATGAAACTGAATCTGCGGATTGTAATGCCAAGAAATCAAAGAGACCGTCACCCGGTGTGTTTGTTGGGACACGATAATCAACACGAAACAGAGCTCTGTGCTCACTTGGAAACCAAGTAATGTCACCAAATTCATGTTGGGACCCGAACACGACTGCTTCATCCCCCAACTTTGCATCGTCCTTCCCTATGTAGGTGATGGACCGTTTGAACATTGGTTCCAGTTTCAGAGTCACCTTTTTTCATCACCACAATTCACTGTGTTAATTAATGTGCATTTATTTCATAACAATAACAATAATGTTGGCACTTGGCATTAGGTACCTGTGAAATCACTCCAAGCACTCCAAGGGAGACCCTAGCTGCATTGATCTCAGGGTCACCATCTTCGAGTTCTCGAACAGTTGCATAACCCTCTTCAGGACTAGCAGGAGTGACAATCCGAATACGAACCACATAATCATGAACAGCACTGCCTAAACCCCGCAACGTGCTCCCATGTGCTCCAGTACCTATCAACCCTCCCATTGTCAAGCCCCACCAGTATGGTGTGTATGGCAACGCCAACCCAACCTTGGCAGCCTCGCTGATGAACTGCTGGAGGGTCACTCCACTATCTACCGTCATAGTCATGCTCTGCTCGTCGACTTTT